CCATCAACCTTTCAAACGTTGCTGGAGCGTTGCACAATCCAAACGGCATTACTTTAAATTGCCACAGACCCTTTCACGTCGAGAACGCAGTTTTCTTTTTGTATAGCTGTCCTTCTTTGTAACGTCGTTCAGACGGCGGTAGTCAACACAAAACCGCATGCTGCCATCCTTCTTCTTTACCCGCACCACGGGTGAACACCATGGACTTGATGAAGGTTCAAAGACACCATCCTTCACCATTCCCTCAATCATGGTTTCCACTTCCTTTTCACGTGCTACCGGTACCAATCCTCTTGACCACTGACGGATAGGCAATTCTTCTCCTGTGTTTATTTTGTGTTGAACTACGCCAGTCTTCCCCATGTCAGCATCGTTTGACGAGTATACATCGGCGTACTTGAGTAACAACTTCTGCGCCTTGACCATTTCATTCGGGGAGAGAACGCTGCGACAGTCTTCTAAAAGTGTGGTTATTCTCGTTTGTGCATCAGTGCATGCACTCGATAGATATTGGCACCGGCGCAACCAATCCACTTCCTCACAAGTACCAACCAGTGTGCCTTTTTCTATAATCTGTTCCTGGCCACAAAGGTTCAGCACACGTACTCCTGAGATGTCAGTGGTTCTGACCAAGGTACGTGCTACATTCCATGGAAGGTCATTGTTTACCCTTTCCACGAGTACACAACGATGAGCTTGCCCAGGGTTCCGAGGAAGACTAGCCGGCACAATCGTTTCCGATCTCGGCGGAAAAACAATCTTCTTAAGGCTGTACACGTTCTATATAAGCATAAGCATAAAAACACTCACGCCTGTCACCTAGAGGGGTAGGCAGAGACCACGGACTTCCATTTGACACGATCCTGACATACCGCTTTCGCCTCCTTTACATCCATATATCTACGCATACATGCTCCTTGATTAAGGGTACTTTTAACGTGGCCCATTTTCAAAATATCGCCAATTTGGTCGATAAACTTTTTTCTAGGGCGTCCCTTCCCGACTCTGCCGTTCACATCTGCCATATAAATTTGCTTTGTCACTCTTTCCTCATTCATTCTTTCTACATGACCAAGCCACCGAAGCATTCCTTTCTTAATCCTGGTCACAACATCATCTTGCATAACACATTTATCTCTTATCACGCAGTTTCTCACCCTGTCATTCAGATTCAACCCTAGCATACTCCTTAAAGGCCGGATTTCTACAGCATTTATTCTACTTTCGTGCTTCTTCTGCCACACCCAGCTTTCACTACCATACATTAAAGTAGGGACTAGCACAGCATTATGAATTACCATACGTGCCCTTTTTGATACATTCTGGTTCTTCACAATAGAGTGTAGCCCCATCACCCTGCATTTACTCGTCGTTCTATATCCTTATCATATCTACCATCCCTGCTAAATACACATCCCAAATACACAAACTCATCCAGTTGCTCAATTAACTCTCCTTCTATTCTTATTTCACATACTGTTTTGCTTTCCTCTCTTTCAAAAACCATCACTTTCATCTTACTTGCGTTCACTTTCATTCCCTTTTCTTTTAATGCCCAGTTCATTAATGTCACCATCATTTGCAACTCAGCCGCCGATGACGCAAATATGACTTGATCATCGGCATACAAAAGGTATTTGACGGTTAACTCGCCCATTCTTAACCCACATTCTTCATCTTTCAAAGTTTGCAAACACCTGTCCATAAATAGGTTGAACAGCCAAGGGAAAGCCACACAGCCCTGTCTGACACCCTTTCGGATGCCAAACCAGTTCGAGTAGACCCCATTGATCCTGACACAAGCACTAGAATCCCTATAAAGAGACCTCAATGCCTGTATCAAACCAGCGCTCAACCCATATGAGTTCAGTGTTTGCCATAACACATTCCTGTATATATTTTTTGCCCTTTTTGAGGCCCTTTATCATACTATAAAAAACCAAAAAAAAAAAGTGACCCTTAAAATTGAACACATTGTGCAAATTTGATTAAAATCGGTTAAGTAGTTTAAGAGTCCATCGCGGACAAACAACGTGACACGTAATTTATATATATCTATATATATAACTTGTTATTATATTTTCCAAAATGTTAGTGAATGCATTTTCAATAATAGACAAATAAATTTCCCTAAAACTTATACAACTATTTTAACCCATATCTAAATTTAAAAAGCAATAAAAAAACTCTAGAAGCATTTACGAAAAATCTGTTTAGGTAAACTGTTAAATTCTTTGAAATTCACTGTTACGTCGCTGGCCTAAACCGCGCTAGCCCTACTGCGTATGTAATCTGATGTTCCTCGTGATTGTAGGTATTTACGTCGCTCAGGTAGCAAGAGTGACAGAGGCCTGACACAACGTAGTGTATAGCATTGACTGAACCCAGCTGGTGGTGTTGGGGTCAATATATTTAGATGTCAAGCCCACAACCAGCAATGACGTGAGGCTACTAAGGCGCCCTCCTTTTTTATCTATCCTTTAGCACTTTTTTGACCCTGCCCTGTCAATAACGCTGATTAGGGATGATTCTGTAGTGCGTTAGAGTTAGTGCGGTAAGCATGCTTGTTATAATGTACGAGCATTGTAGCTACAACTTCGTCGATAATATATCTATCTATAACCTTTTCTAATGTCTAAAGGACGTTGGTAAAGTCTTTTCTAACAGTCTATAGGTATAACATTATTTTGAATTTTGCATTGTTTGTCGTCCTGGAATGTATCTCTAAGCAAAACTTGCTCTGAAGATCTTGTTCTTGTATAAGGGGGAGGTCAATATTGTCCTCTGCAAAGAAACACTCCACCACAACAGGTGCAGCTCCTGGATAGTGGAGATTTGTCTGGGAGACTCCTTTCCTGGTTTAGCCATTTAAAGGCGTGGTTGGGCAGGGGTAGCTCCCGCCTGCTGAGGATGATATTTTGCTGGCGCTCTCGACCCTCACTGCACCTTTCCCTTTGCTGCCATTACTTCCCCTTACTTTATCCTTGATCGACATTAGCAGAGGTCGCTGACTCGGAGCGAGATTATGCTTTTGTTAAAATCTTCTAAGAATTTCACAATGTAATACATCAACATATTACAAGCCTGTATGGGCTTCTATCCTTATACCTTTAAATAATAAAAAGTATGTCATATATGCAGCGTGACCACTTTTAGTAGATTTCTACTTTTTTAATAGATTTGAAGCAAATAAGACGATAATCTAGTAGGTTAAAATGTCTTAGTAGAATTTAGTAGAAATGAGAAACACATCGGTAGGTTTGATATTAATTCACTATCAAAGAATATTAGGCTTAAAACCAAGCTTCCATGTCCAAAAAGTTTTAATTTTACGGTTGGCAGCACCTGAAAGTGATTTCGAGTTCCCTTATTATTGAATGAATGTTACTGTGGGCATAGCAAATTGAATTTAAATTTCCAATAGATAAAGACTATTTTTTATAAAACATGTCTGTCAACTTTTCAATCAATTGTTCAATCTTTTTTGCATCTATAATGATAGACAACACAGTTTTATTAGTCATTTTCGTTCATTTGCATTGTTTTCTTCCGAGAAATCATACATTTATGTAATTTAAAATGGAAGGAAGATACGATCAAACTTATCGTGCGGAGTGGGTAGAAAACACATTATTTTCAAATTGGCTTAAAAATGTGATGACAATAATGCTTATTGTAAAGCTTGTAATTCTTAAATTTTAACAAGAATTCAGTCAAAGTGAAGTGAGTAGCAGAAGTGACAGTCAAATACCCAAATGGAGATAGAAACTCTAATGCATCTGCAGAATTTCTTTATAATGCCTTAAATGACGAAACTATTTTTTTCTAACTACTATATATTATATATTTTTACTATATATTTTTTTCTTCCTACCATAAAACTATATTTTTATTTCATTTATTAGATATTACCATTTACAAATAAATTCAACACTATTTTCCAAGGAGATAACCCTGTCGTGTACCGTTTGTACAATGATATACGAGCGATGTTTATCTCCATTTTTAGCTGTTATATGAAGAGCCAATATGTAAAAACTACATCAATGAAGAATATTGACCCCAATTCTTCCCGTATTTACCCTTAAACAATTTGTATTTGGGTGTTAATTTTGCCAAATACATAAGAATCACATCGTGATCAAATACCACCGCAACAACTTCAAGATATTTTTAAAAGATGTCAGGAATTTTTGTGTGGGCAGTTAAAAACAAGACCAAGATAGACGAATTTGAAATGAGCCAAGATTCCAAAACTGCTGTACATGCTGAATTTACAAGTTTGTATAAAATTGCCTCAAAATTTCTAAACATTGTGTCCGAAAGTGACATTCAACTAATCGACAGTGAATTCAAGGAACTTAAACTTAACCTTGAGTATCAGTAGTAGAGAGGCTGTTACTAATATTGAAGAGTTTTGGGTGTCAGTAAGTAAATTGACAATAAACCTTAATTTAAAAACATTAGTAAATTTGTATCGAACTCCAAATGTGAATACATTTTTACTGCTATGAATAGATTAAAAATAGAAGATCGTAACAGATTTAATAACCAAAACATTCATGCAATTTTACACGCTAACTAAGGGTTAAAAAAAGAAATTGTACAAAATTTGAACCTGGTACTGGTACTCTAATGCTGAAAACAATGAAAAACAATTAGACAATGACATAAATTATTAAATGTAGGGTTCATTAACAAATATGTATTATTTCAATTCCTATCTACCCAAAACGGCTCAAGTATTACCCTAAAAATTAATAGATTTTAAAATGCTATCTAGTAGATTTCAGTAGATTTTAGAAGCGTCTTTGGTAGATTCCCTCATTAAAAAGTGGTCATGCTGCTTATATGTTTTATGACATAAGTCAGATTGAAAATGGTAGAATTTCTGTGTTTGTCATCTGCAGAAAAATAAAATAAATTGTCTTGAACTGCACCTTCCTCAACGTACTGCAACAACATCTTAGCTTGTAAAATGCAATTTTAGATCCATAATTATGGCACAGAATTTACAAAAAAAGCCTTCCAAGGGCATCTTGAAAACCTCGAGAAGCGTCGATGGACATGACGGATCGCCGTCTACTAGTAAGAAGCCGAAAGAACAGAGGTTCGACGAAATGAATATTATAGAAACGTTTCACCCTGCTGATAAAGATTACGGTCATATGAAAGTTGATGAGCCTAAAACACCTTACTCTGAAGCAATAGATGGCGATTTAGAGCCAGCAGATGAGTTAGACGCTAATATCTTGGCGGCAAAGCTTGCGGCTAGTATGAATAAGCCTCCTAAATGTACAGAGCCGTGTGAGAGTGATGAAGATATGGAAGAACCTGAAGAAGTGCGCCAACGGCGGCTGGAGTTTGAAAGGAAAAGGAAAATGCACTACAACGAATTCCAGGTTAGATTCATATTTAATTTTTTTATATTTTAAAAGAATTCTAAAAGCAAATGAATGCTTCTAGCCCGGTACAGTTGTTGCTTTATGGCACTCATTTAAATGGAAACTACAGTCAAAGTCTTATTTCTTTTTTTATATTACCTAATCATACTCAATTAATATATATCTAATTGTAAATCTTTTGAAATGATTGATTTTAACAGCTAAACAACAACATCAACGCTTTTGTTTTGATGTTTATTCAAGGTTTTTTAATGTCATACATGGCAAAATTTGGGCATTTCAATACTTTTTATTACCTAAGTGTTCCAGAAGGATGTTATGCAGTGCATAATCTATGACATCTGTTTTTATCACCTATAACGGTGATATTAATGGGCGACTGATGTAACAAAGCGATCAAAATCCTAATCCATTACCTATAAGTAATAAGTTGCTTAGTCTTATGTGAGACCATGAGCATGAAAGGCCATATTTGTATATATAAATATATAACTGGCTTGAAGAAAACAATTTTCAAAGAAAATATACCGAATACACCTCAATTTGAAAAGTTAAAAAGTATAGGTACTTCAACCAGACCTTATTTTATTTAATATAATCATGATCATCATTTCAACAATTCATAAGTCCACTACTGAATATAGGCCCCAAAAAATGCCACAAATCACGGTCCTAAGCCACCTGCATCCATCGACTTCCTGCATGTCTTACCAGGTTGGCACTCCATCTAGTGGCGCGCGGCCTCACATTTCGCCTAGCAGTAGAAGGCTGCCACTCAAAAACCTTGCTTCCCCATCGGTTGCCGGTTCTTCGAGCTATATAGCCGGCCCATTGCCACTTCAGCTTACTAATTCGTAGATATTCTATTTATTTATTTTTAAATAATCCAATTTTTATAACCAAAAATTAGATTTATCATGTTTTTTACTTTACTTCATAAGTTATTTAGAAGATTTAAGTGGGTATAGAATCACCTTAACCTAAAGTAACAACCAAGATTTTATCAGTCAAGTGGTCGGCATTGTTCTATGCTATGCGGTTGATTACATTGTATTCTTATCTTTATTTGCTTCTTACAAAGCATCAGTATTTTTTCTTTACTTAAAGGACGTACTTTTAAGTAACTTTTGTTTAACTCAAACTTCACAATGTCAAAATTGTAGGCTTGAATTATGTCATTGTGAATTTCGTGTGTAAGTGACTATGTACACATCCTTATGTTACAATATACACAGCTATATAATATTGGGTGTAATGGTGAGAAAATGGCACACTTAAATTAATTATTTTTACACAAATATTGTAATAATTAATATTTTGCCTACTAATCTATCTACACTAATATTATAAAGAGGAAAAATTTTGTTTATTCATATTGAATAGGCTCCAAAACTACTGGACCGATTTGAAAAATTCTTCACCAATGGAATCCTACATTATCCCTGACGAACATAGGCTATAGTATATTTTCAAAAAGTTAGGGATGTGTATGTATAAAAACTTCTTTAATGTAACCCACGGCGTAAAAAAAGTACCAAAAGAATCCTTATATCGCATATGCTGCAGAAACTATTGACAATAGAGCAAAGTGATGTAGTACAGTTTTATAGAAGATATCATTATCTACAAAAAAGTCTGCGGTACCATATGTCTAACTATTACAGTTATGTCAAAATAACTACTTTTTCATGTTAAATTATTCAATAGTAAAGCCGAAAAATCCTTTTATCGCATATGCTGCGGAAACTATTGACAATAGAGCGAAGTGATGTACTACAATTTTATAGAAGATATCTATATCTACAAAAAAGTCCACAATACCATATGTCTAATTAGTAATTACTACAGTTATGTCACAATGTTAAGATATGCAAAGCCCCCCGAATATCTGCAATAAGATGACTACTGACTACTTATTAAGATAATGAAGGAAAATTTAACTGTAGCGACCATCATCACCGGCCTATCAGCTGGTCAACTACCTCATATACCGAGGATATTTTGCTGCCACAAAATAAAACAACATCAAATATAGTTTACAGGGAAGCTCTGAACTAATAAATTTATGTTTTGTAGATATTATCTTTTTACAAATAATATAATAATATTTCTAAATAAAAAAGAAAATAATCAAAATTAAAAAAAAACAAAAAAAATAAGAAAAAATATCAACAAAAAAATCATCATCTACATTCTATACCTTAATATTATAAAGAAGAAAGAGTTTTTTGTTTGTTTGTTTGTATCAAATAAGCTCCAAAATTACTAGACCGATTTTAATAATTTCTATCACAAGTAACGTAGGCTATAATTTATTTTCAAAAAAATTGGAGATCTTTAAGAAAATTGTAACCCAAAGAAGCAAAATTTTGGAGCGAGGTGTCACGTAATGTCGTGCGGTGCAAACACGTGATATACGCGGGTTAAACCGCGGGGCACAGCTATATAAAATATTTTTAAAACAAAAACAATTTTTATAATGTTTGTGTCTGTTTTTTTTTGTACCGATTTTGTAGGACCACCAAACATCTTGTTTTAAATTGGGATCATTCAAAAAATTCAAATACATGACACAGTAAAGGTAATACTAAATTATAAGTCTTTAAAATGAGCTTCTGCTTCTTTTTTACAAGTAGAATATTTATCCATAAGGGTTTTAGCTTTTTACTAACTCCAGAACTAAAATGATAAGCAGGCTGTGATGGAAGAATTTAAAACAAATATTCAGGTGTCGATCTAGTGCCAAGGATTTTAATGCTAAATCAGAGATGTCAAAGGATTTACTCCTTTCTTTATAATTCCAATTAAGAAAAATCGGCCAAGAGCGTGTCGGGCCACGCTCAGTGTAGGGTTCCGTAGTTTTTCGTCCGTCACAATAAGTGTTCCCACTTATGAGTTTAAAGGTGGGTATCCATTATGTTCGCGCTCCAGCAGCGCTTCGCGCTCCTGCAATTGCTCCCGGTAGTGGGTACTGACTGTTGTTTCCATCCAAGTTCAAAATGATTTTCCTAGAAAGTCCTTATAAAGTTCTACTTTTCAGATTTTTTTCATATTTTCTAAACTTACGGTTTAAAAGTTAGAGGGGGGGGGGAACACATTGTTTTTTTACTTTTGGAGCGATTATTTCCGAAATTATTGACATTATCAAAAAATGATTTTAGTAAACCCCTATTCATTTTTAAATACCGTTCCAACAATATATCACACGTTAGGGTTGAAATTAAAAAAAAATCACTTCCCATTTTACATATAGGGGTGCTACCCTAATAAAACATTTTTCCCCAATTTTTATTTTACCACTTTGTCGGCGTGATTGATACACATATTGGTACCAAATTTCAGCTTTCTAATGCTAACGGTCACAGAGATTAAGCGAGGACGGACAGACGGACAGACAGACATGGCGAAACTATAAGGGTTCCTAGTTGACTACGGAACCCTACTTTTTTCTTCCCCCCCCCCCTCCCCCCCCCAAACCAAAAAAAAAACAACTACGAAATTCCAATTAAGAATCAAAATTCAGATGCGTTGCCAACCCTGATTACTAAGATGAAATGCCTCGTTTCCAGTAAAAAGGGTCTCGGGTTCTCTACACTCACCATACGAAGCACAACACAGCATTGATCTTTCAAAGCGAAAACTATTTGACGCTGGTGTTCAATCCTATTTGATTATTAAAATTTTCGTCGTAATTCTAGTCTATACCTATTAATTATTATTTATAAGTTTCTCAGAGCTATTTATAGTTTACGTCAATTTAGTTGCTTAAGGCCGAATACGACGCGAGTGACCTTGCTCATTTCGCAGCAAACCTCGCGCCGCCAGTACGCTTTGTTTATATAGACATGTATAATATAATCTGAGCTAGCTCAGTATGCAGAGTAATGAACAACACAGAGAGCATTGCTTACTTCTTAAATAAATCTTTCTTATTTATAATATTAGTTCCTATAGATTATAAATTCTGTACTTTATTCGTTATAAAATATTGTTCGAAAAGTTATTGAATTGATAACGATTTTTTTTCTTAATTGGTGCATCGTACGTAAAGAACCTCATATAACTGAAAATGTTTGTTCTTGTGAGTCTTACAAGATGCCGTAATGCAAATTGCATAAATAATAAAGAAAAAAAAACTAAAAAGTCGGTGATTGCCCCATAGTGGGGATAGGTACTGTGTATGTAAATTCTCACAAGACTACTCCGACTGGTCAATCACTCGGAAAATCCGAAGTATTTCGGTTTTTCTTAATTATGTACTTACCCCATGCTTTCGGACAATACATCGACTATGACATTATTTGTGGTCTCTGTGCTTGCACTACTCTGTACAATCTTTTCCGACTGGGTCTTGATATTTACATTTTTAGTGTTTCTCACTTGAAACTAGAAAAGTATAAATGATCAGATTGGCTAATGTAAATGAGTAAAAATGCAGCCTATTAGGCAGCCTCAAACAAAAAATTACCTTACAAAAATATAAGTATTAACCTCAAAATATAACATTCGAGCAGCGTTCATGCGATAAACTCTCTTTGTTTCACCACTTAGGTAACATTTATTTCTTTTCCTACCCATATTTACATTTATAGTCACATAAAAGCGTATAAAACACTAAATTAACGATTTTCGCTACAGACACATCGACTGTTGTTACCTTACGTCACACGTCGAAGCGCCTGGTAATTTATTACGGCAAACTTTTATCTGGCAATATACGATATTATTATTAGGTGTTTTTAATTAAAACGAATTATGTTAATAAATAATATTTTGTATCGAAAATAAAGATAGCAGGTACCTTCGGAATCACAATACAAACATTTTTACGTAAAAGAATTTTTCCTAAATTAAAATTCACAGAGTTTTGGAAGAACAATAATTTTATATATCATTTCTTAACATTTTTTTATTTATTGGTATATTCATTTATTTTAAAATTTTAAAATGACGGTTACCTTGTGAAGGACCCGAACAAACCTACAAAAATGTTTTAA